AAACACATGAACAGATGTGAATGTCTCAGGCTGATGCAAAACATTGTCGCCATAATACTTGAAGAAGAGGTTCTGTCATCCTCGGATTTAGGTGTGGTTGCAAGACAGTTTCGAGCGGTGCACGTCTTTTGCAGCGCAGGTGTGCGCCCATACGCGCATGACGACTCTGTTATAGGAGTGGCTAGTGACACTAGATGTGGCCCAGCTGTGTCTGGTGATAACGATACGAGCAACACCAAAGCTGCTGTAAACTGATTGAGAAGACCACTTTGAACACATCATACATATGGCGGACCTTCGGTTATATTTTTTTGTTTAGTAAATATTCCCTGACTCCCAGCAACAGCTTTCTATTGAATGGTTTGCATGAAGTTCTGGAAATTATTACTGCTCAACACTGTCAGATAGTGAAGCTTACACCTTAATTTGATATTAAATTTGCAAAGGCTGTTTTGATTACAGAACTTTAGTGGTACTGTTGAATAATCACGAGAGGCACGCAATTCTGTGAAGTGTGCCTGCCAAGTGCATTTTCCCACCAACACACGCACATTGGTTTGCGCAAAAGTCTGTCAAAAATCACTATGTTACCAAAATGGGCAAATACAAATTAATTCTGACAATTGAAGTGGTTTCACTAACTATTGTAAAGTGCTGGGTGCACGAGAAACAAATTCTACATGTCATAATTGGCGATCCAAAGTGTCGATCACAAGTGATCGAATTCGAATAGGCGTGGTAGCGAAAAAGGTCAATATAAATGAAGAAAAACGCATGCGCCACGAGTAGGACATTCGAAAAATTATCCTGATGACATCAGAGTTACCGCCTACAATCAATCGCTAGTAATCGAACTAGCTGCACTTAATAAGGAACCTTTTGTACATCAAGAGATGTTATGAAATGCCGTTCATTTGTTTGATTCATGGAAAAAAGAACCGCCAGATGTTACTACGGGAATGGTGCAAGTGGTTCAAAGGTTCTATTCTCTGTTGGTTAAGCTAAAGCCCCTTGATCCGGGAAAGTACCGCTATCCACTGTACTTGCCGCCGCTTGCGCGACCTACTCTCTTTCCTTCTCACCCATGTAGAGTCCTTCCGTTCTCCGCTGCTGTTTTTGCGTGATGATTGGTCTCCTTCGCGGTCGCCCTTGAATATGCGCGAATCTTGCGCATTGCTGTTATTTGTCTTTTACGCTCACGCCATTTTTCGCCTGGGCTGTGCGTAGCTCGCATAGAAAACATTGCGCACGTTTTTTTTTTTTTTGTCTGCACTGTTTGTTGATTCTATGCTTTGCCTAATCTTCAGCATTCCAACGTGTTTGTCGCTTATCAATTTGTAAGTGAAATTATTCATTGTGTCAGAATGATTAGTTGCTTTCTATACATTTTTTCTATATTTCATTGAAGACTAATTTTAGCCGCATATTTTGCAACGATATGGGGGGGGGGGGAACCTGAAACCCGATGTAGTTAGAACGTTGTTCTGCCGCCACCCTGCGGTGACCCCCTCGACCGAGACATGAACCTCCAGCTGTGTAGTGAGTGGTTGCTGCTTTCTGCTCCTTTTCACGTCTATAGTAGTTGCCACATGCCAAACAATATACAGTGAAACCTCGTTAGACCGTAGTTGGCCGGGAATGACGTTTTGGTACGCATTAAGCGATGTACGAATTAACCGTCAGTGCCAGTTTAGCGGCTACTTACCGGTCAGAAAAGAAGGCCACAATCCTCACAAACACGCGCGCGCACACACGCCGGCACGCCAGCTTTATTTATGGACAGGCAGCAAAAAAATCTGTGATCTTCACTTGCCGCCGTGGTGGCCTTGCCTCGACGACGGCATCTTCGAAGTCGGTGAGGCCGCGAGCCAGCCGGTCCATTAGGCCACGCTTCTCGGCGAAGGCTCGCATCACAGTCACAGCACGCGCAGCTTCGGATAACGAGGGGCCGTCGTCCACTTCGACATCGCCCTCCTCCTCACTTTCGCTTGAATCGGGACGAGGTGCGATGGCGGCAACAATGTCGCTGTCGGAAAAGTCCGGGGATGTAAGGACGTCTCCGTCCACATCTCGGAAAGTGCCGAAGTTGAACTTGTCGACTCCCTCTCCTTGCCGCTCGAGCACCTCAACAAGGAGGCTCTCGCAGTCTTCGGTGTCCTCACCATCCTCGTTATCCTCCATGTTCTCGTCGTTGCCTTCTTCTGGCATCTTGAATTGTGCTCGCGCGAAACAGTTCCGTATCGTTGCAGGCTGCACCTGCATCCATGAGTGTGCAAGCAGGTGTATAGCACCCAGGAGGTCTATACTGTACGTTTTGGCACTCTCCATGGCGATCAACATCCGCCGCAAAAGATTTTTGCGGTAAATCTGTTTGACAGAGCGGATGATGCCCTGATCGAGGGGCTGGGCGAGCGCTGTCGTGTTGGGCGGCAAAAACAACAGCTTAATAGCCGACAGGTTACCCACATCGACATGCGCCGACGCATTGTCAAGCACTATCAAAATGCTCCTTTTCTTGGCAGCAAAACGGCGGTCCAGCTGGCGCACGTACTCCTCGAACAGCTGGGCTGTCATCCAGGCTTTTTTGTTGTGCTTGTAAACAACACCGGATGGCAGCCGAGCGCCTTTGAAGCACCGCGGGTTTCCATACTTGCCAATGACCATCAGTGGCAGCTTCTCACTACCGGTCATATTTACGCCAAAAGCGACCGATATGCGATTTTTGGCGTGTTTCCCGCCGGTGCACGTCTCATTTTTAAATGCCAATGTCCTATTTGGAAGAAGGCAATAAAAAAGTGCCGACTCATCAAAATTAAAAATGTCGGCGGCATCGTAGGCTGTCAAGGCTTCCTGCAAAACGGTGTCCTGCCATTCAACAGCGCCTTCTTTGTCTGCTGCAGCAGCCTCACCACAAACAACCTTCCCCACGATGCCGTAGCGGGCTTTAAACCGCGACAACCAGCCGTTGCTGCAGGCAAAACCGGGGCAGTTCAGCTGATCTGCGAAAGTTAGGGCTTTTTCGGTCAGAAGGGGTCCGCTAACCGGCAGGTTCATGCTCCGCGCCTTCTTCAGCCAGAGAAGCAGGGCCTTTTCCACTTCGGGATAAGCTGAGTCTCTCATGCGGCACCTCTTCAAATCGCTGTCTGTGCCTCCCGTCAACTTTTCGCGAGCGTTCCAAATTCCGCATACAGTAGTCAGCGGCAAGTTCTTATCGCGGGCTACCGCAGATTTCTTGGCCCCATTTTCAATAGTGCGAATGATTTCAAGTTTTTCCTTTACGCTCAAGACGTGGTACTTCGGCATAGTAAGAAGTTTTAGTGTGCGAATTTAATCGCACCACTCGCGCACAACACAAGAATAAAAAAAACTACAAAAAAAAAAAAACACAACACGCCGCACAAGAACGTAAGTAACGCAACACCACCACACCGCCGCCACGACCAACACTGCGGGAAAGTGAGGACTAACGACCGAATAAAGAAACGAGCTCAGCCTGGCTCGACGCTGTGGAGCCGTTGAGAATACGTACTTGGCTTGGATTGAAAGCGACAGCGAATTTGCACCCCCTACCGGGACCAGCAATCGAGAATTCCTAGGTTACCAAAAACCGATCTTGAAGGCCATGCTCTTGCACAATGGGATCGGCAACAGACGTACGCGCAAAAAATACGTCATCGTGGCCATGTTGTGACGTCACTATCGCTGGTGGTTGTTGTCCGATCGCCACATGGAGTGTATCGACCGTCTGTGCGCACGAAATTTTGCCGATTTTCGGCCTGTGCATGGATAAAGAGAACGAAAATAGTACGTACTAACCGTACATAACACCACAAGCGACTACGGCTTAAGCGGTCAGCCAATACATGGGGTTCAATGGAGATAGGGCGGGGGATTCCTCGCTACTACGTATAAACCGCAGTTACATATTAAGCGGGTACGTATTAAAGAGGTTTGACTGTATGATGCGGACATAAAGCATGTGATCATCATGTGGAAGAAAAAAAACACCTGGTTCATAGAACTCTCTATGAAGTTATTTTTAAAGTAGCACGTTTAGATGGCTTTTGGAAGAAACTAATCTCTTTTTTGTTTCATTTCAGTGTTCTTTATCTTGCGATCACCATTTTTCGAAATTAGCTACACGACCGGGGTGCGCAGGTGGCTCCAAATCAACTACCTCCATTGAATTCGGCAGCGGGTTCGTGGGAAGCCTCGGCGAAAAATGGTGCAGGGCACATCGTGGCCGAAGGCGGGTGAGGATATTCGAGGAGGAAACATGCACGTGGATGAGGGTGTCGTTACTTCCCTCGATTAAGGTGCTTTTGGTTAAACTGGACCGGTCCCAGCGAGGCCTAGTTGAACCAAGCACGTCTGCCATCTCGTAGGCCATGACTGGAAATCGTTCAATGGTCGTTGTTGCTGCTGTGGCTCCCGCTACTTTTGCTCTGCTACGATTAGTGTTGGCGGCCGTGCGGTAAAGCCGGGCAACGTTGTGCACGCAACAGTGACGTGAAATTTTCGAATTGAAGCGGGTAATCTTAAGTGTGCCAACACGATGCGAACCACTAAAACGTGATTTTCTTTTGAAATAAGCATTTCTTTGGCACAAAAGGAGCACTACGAGGTTTCTGAACGGCCTATTTCAGTGACGAACATTGACTTAATATTAGTGTCCTTTAGTGTCACTTTCGAAGACTGGATCACCATATCATAAGCGGCTGATTAACGACAGGCCTGTGATCGAGAGATCATCAATTACTGGAATACGGCGCATAGAAGTACGCACGTGACCAGCTCACCTTCAAGGGCCGCACTGTCATGCATTCACAGGCTCTGGGTTTTTCGCGTACGACAAAGCTGCTGCTGGAATGCGTAACTTAAATCAATTGGGCAAGGTTTTCACATAAGCCAAGTAATGACGTAGGAGATTTTGTGCTGCATGCCTTCAAATCCCTGTGTCTTGCTGATCGGCGAGACCTTTCTTCTTTTTTTTTCCCCAGATGATGCAGTGTGTGGGCACACGCGTCTCACGCGAGGTGGCCCCCAGGCATTCTCCCGAAGAAGAGCAGGGGTCGCCGCTACCCGCGGCGATGGTGACCAAGGAAGAAGAGGAGACCCCGACGACCGTGCCCCACCTTCCAATCAGCATCATCATCCGCGAGCGGAGGCACTTCCTGGTGTGCGTGGCCCAGCCCATCCCGCACCCGTCTAACATCGAGGTGCCCCTGGGGACGCACACTTTCCTCAGTCGGCACAACCCCAGCATGTGCTTCACGCACGTCGATGACAGGTGCGTCGTTGCTGCCGCACGCGGCAGCCCACGGAGACGTCACTAGGTGGGAAACTACCACCGTGGCTGACGGCTCCTTCCAAAGCCGAGAAAAGTACTGCACAATATTTTTAGTGCTTTCGACAGTAGCAGGGGTGCTATTTACAATGCTCATTGTTAGAAACACGACTTGAGAACATACGCTGTAAGGACTGGTATGCGCAGTTTCTGGAGATTACCCACCGTGGTGGTCTAGTGGCCTTATGGTTCTCGACTGCTCACGCGAATGACACGGCATTGAATCCCTGTCACAGAAGCTACGTTTGATGGATGCGTAATGCTAGAGCCCCATGTTCTAAGATTTAAATGGTGTTATAGAACCCCAAATGCTCTGAATTTTCGGAGCCTTCCATCTACGGCACATCTCAATCATATCATGGTTTCGGGACGTAAAGCACCAGTTATTACTCTCATTAATTTCTTGAGATTACCATGTCGCGTCGACCACGGCCACAGTGTTGGTTGTGATGATACTGTTCCAAGTCAAAATTACTTTGGTATGGCCAGAATTTAAAATGGGGGATTCGAAAAAATGTGCCCTCGTGACCCTAAATTGCCACCATTCAGATTGTGAGCTGTGTAAAGTCATGCGCAACTGTAATGCAAACTGTGGAGTGTGCTGCACGTGACACTGGTGACTTTGCATGCTGGTGGCCTTGTGCAGTTGAGATGTTAAGGCACATGGATACTTGGTGTAGTACTGAGACATGTCTCTTATTCAGGGACTGCAATCTTTTCTCGCTGCTACTCCACAAGAGAACAGGGCGCATCACCTCCACTGCTGCTCTTGACGAGCTGCAATATTGTCAGTAGTGGTCCTGTGGTAGACTGACACGGTAAACACTGTGGTCAGGGAAAAGGAATCGTGTCGCAGTAGTGTAATTATCTTCACACGTGACATCTCAATTGGGGCAATGCCAATGACAGGCAATGCCGGTAGTGTCATCTGCAGTGCTCTCCACTGCTCTTATTTAAATTGTCCATGACTGTACCGCTCTATTTGACACTCCACACTGCGATCTTTTGCTATCCCTGGTGGTTTTATACTTTCTGCTCACTCCTAACATGCTGTGGTTTTTCCTCAACCAAGACAACATTGTTCTGACTACGAGTAAAGCTTACAAGGCGAACTAGTTGGTGTTCATCGTTATGTTTGTGCTATGTAAGCGTAGATACAATAGTCTAAAGAAAAAAAAATCGAAGAAATAAAAGAGTACACATCATGTTCAGCATAAACTGTGCTTATCACAAACAGTATTGCGTACGAAAAAACGAAGAGAATGAAGGTCTCAAGTTTTCTTTGTTAATGGCCTCCTGTTTACACAACTAAATGCATGTCTACATGTCATAACACAGTATACTCTTGTTAAACGAAACCTGAAGGGACCAGGAAAATATATACTGTTCAGCAGTGATTCTGCTAGCCAAAAGATTATCAAGGGTGCGAAATTCAAGCACTAAACCAGTCATGTTAGAGGCAGTTTCATTTACAGACTTTTGTTTAACGGGAGTCTACTGTATGTGCGTGGTATCGTATATTGAAACATTATGCTAAGCTTGTTTGTCCGTCAGTTGTCTGCTGTACTACTTCATGCGACGCATGAACCATTCTAAATACCATTACTTCATATTGGCATGTTAAGTACATGATTCTCAATTAGCAGTAATATCTGTGTTAAGAAGTTAAGCCAGTGGATGGGAGTGCTGCAAAATATCAGTGGCAGTTTATGAGGCATTGCGAAGCTTCTAGTATGCGAGAGTTTCAGTAAATGCTTGGCACTGCATTGCAGTTGCATGTGTTTTGTTTGTAGATTTGCCGGCTGTGGAGCCTGAACGCAGTTTTTAAGAATGCCCGACAAGCGAGCATTGAAACCGATAGCCAAAGCTGGTTCCGAAGTGCCCTGTTAGAATCGCTTCGGCTTTTTGTGCACGCAGAACGGAGACCTTCCTAGGCTACACATCTGAAGAACTGCTCGGGAAGTCTGTCTACTCCTACTTCGACCCGAGGGACGTGCTGCATTTGCAACAGGACTTCAAAACATGTGAGCCAATGCATGTTTCTGACGCAATCGCGAGTTTCTGTTTCAGCTTTTAAGGAGAAAGCTCTAGGTGGACAAGAAGCATGAAGCAATGCGGCCTTGTACTCAAAAAGGACTGGCCTGAGCGCAAGGGCTGCTGTGGGTAGTGTAACGGAATGCGAGTAGCGTTGGGCGGTTGAATACGTGGTTGGTATAGAGTAATGATCGACTCATATTAGGCGGCTTTGCAGTCATGACAAAACGCTTTACGACGACCTCTTCAACGGCCTCATTGCGCTCCTAAGCACTTCAAACTCCGCACTACCGAACACGAAAATCATTTTCGTACACTGTTTGAAGCCTGTGTCTCTAGCCGCTGCAAGGTGACATCAGTTTTAGTCACCCAGCTAATGTTTGTGTTGGGCCTTCTGTTCCCTCAGTAGGGCATTGTACATCTCTATAGCTAGATTGATTTCAAGATGGTGCCTTTCCTTGCAATAGTAGAGAAATTAAGCAAGGAGGCATCTACAAGCTCTAGATTATTGGCACATTCTACCTGTACACGAACAGATTTGAGCCTTTCAGGTAGGCGAAGGGGCATTGATTATCCATGCAAGAGTCGAGGACAAGAGACATACGAATTTATTATTATCCGTTAACACATGTTCATCAATCTCATACCTGTGACGATAACGTCCGTAAATAAAATCAACTTCACGAGAGTGGAGATTTTACCATGTAAATGCAGTCTGGGATTGCCTAATCTGCATATCATCAAACTGATTTCATCAAATGTGGCAGTTCATGGCTACAAAAGGTGTCGGGGATCTCGTCATTTGATATTTTTTGCTCTTGCACAGCGCTCAGATTTCCTTCACAATTCAGTTGCAGCATCCATGTGACCAATCAAGGCACTTCAAGTTGCAGCAGCTGTGCACTTCTATCCATAACGGAGTGCGAAAAAATTACCATTTGGTAGAAATTCAATCTGTTGGCAATGTAAGCTTCCTAGTTATGTGTGGACACCATCAACAAAGCATTGGCAGTGGACTTGCTTTACGAAACATCTTAATTAAGTTTAGCGACCACGCAGGTTACAGATCGAAAACTTCAACTGCTCGCAATGAAAGACATGCATGCTTTCAGGTGTGCACATCCGTGCAGTTCAGTGTTGTAGAGCTTCGGCCAATTTCAGCTCGGAAGGTTAAGATCACATTAGTTTGCATGTATGCCACAATTTTCAATCTTCAACTGCTGTATGAGGTTATCTCATTACTATGACGTCAAGCCATGCCCTTGGCATTACACAATTATAGTTTACCGTCAGTGTGATAGCGGGGGTGAAGGGAATAGCGTTACTGTGCCGCATACATTCCTTGCGGACAGCACCTTATAGTTTAGCGATACAGCGTTAATGTGGTTTACCTGCCTCAGCTGGTGGCGCCACCTAGCAGAAGCTTAATAAGTTAAAGAACAGTGTGAATGAAAGGAAAACGAGAATGCTTGCCTGTGTCACTATAGAAGCAATGTTGCTAAATTTTTTTTAGTATTAAGAGTAAATAAATATGAACAATGCACCAAGCACCAAAACATTTATGTTCCCTGATTCACTTACATCGATATTCTAGTTAGGCCTAGAGAGATTTGAAATGGGAAGCTATCTCAAAAAATGCGCCAACTTATTTGTAATACTCGGTCATTGGCACTAACTGAAGGCAAGCAAAGCCATTTTAAAACAGTCGTTCTTGCTGCAAACGAACGGCTAGCCAAAATCACTTCGAAGCGGGTGTCCGAAACCGCCGCTGTGTTTCAGGTGCCCAACGTAAACCACACTAATGTTAAATCTGAAAAATAGCATGCGTACAGTGAGTGGTACGGATCACGTATGTTAAAGGGCACGTGCAGTGCGGATCCCGCTAAGCCCGGTAAACTATAACTGTCTTTTGTTGTGCGCACACACTTCACAGGCAATCGAAACAAAAGATGGATAGAAACAAGAAACTCCGGTTTTCTGGAGTAAAAGAATACAAGAGGCAAAATCGCTGCATTGGTAGTTGCTTTTATTTTCTGTGGCGATCAAAATTTTGGAGACCACGGGAGCGCATGGTGAGCAGCACCGCGGCGCCTTTTCGTAGCTGCCACTGAAGCTCGAGAGAGCGCTCTGCTCAGGCGCAGATTTTTCTACCTACCAGCCTGCGCTATCGCTCCCTTGAAATGCGCACGCAGCGGAACGCCATAAAAATTGCAAGGTGTCGCTTTTGCAGTCGCTACGGAAGCACTGAGTGATGATCGCCACAAAATTACACAACTTGTAGTGGCACTGCTCGGTGCGCCCTGCTATATCGCCTTCGTTCCAGATGCTCCACGGCGGCAAAAACAAGCGTGCTTTGCCAAAAGACAGCATTGCTCGGTATTCTTATCACATGTGCCAATTAAAAAAAAACTGACACAATTTGTGCATTTTGGTTCGACGGAGCGTCTGCAACCAAGGTGCAGAAGCGGTGCACTACAGGCACTGCCTCTACAAGTTGCATATTTTCTTCCTGATATCATCGCTCGGTGCTTTCGCAGTGACTGCAAAAGCGACACCTTGCAATTTTTCTGGCGTTTTGCTGTGCGCGCTGTTCGGGGGAGTAAAAGTGCAGACTGGTATGGTAGGAAAAAAGATGTGCTTGCGCAGTGGGCGCTCTCGAGCTTCTCTGGTAGCCGTGAGAAAGTGCTGCGGTGCTGTTTGCCATGCGTTCTCGTGGTCTTTAAAATTTTGATCGCCACAGCGTTGTGATCTTAGAGCTAAGCAAACTGTCCTAAGATTCTGGCACATCATCCAGCAAATAGTCCAGCAGTGCAGCGCACGACACAAACGTTGACACTGTTCCCCAGCAGCTGGTATCGGTGCCTTGGCTTCAGTTCTCGTGGAAAGGCGAAGTGCTGTGGAAAGCACATCAGTCGAGCGACCTCCCGTGGAGTGAAGTAACGTAGGCGCAGGCTTCGCAGCTTTTCAAGGACGTGTTCCGGCACAGCCTCCTTGTGGGGCACTTCGCGGTACACCTCGTGCATACGATCCACTGGGGCCTGCGCAGTGGGAGAGACAGGATTTAGTCCTTTGACTGATAGCAAATAAAAGGAGTAAAGTACCCAGTCGGAAGTTGCAAAAACTTAGGTGACAAGAAAAGAGTTAGCACTTGGGATTTCGAATAAAGCTTTATCGCAGAAAACAAGTGTGGACACGAGGAGACGAGAAAGAAATAGTGGACTGGCACTGTCTTCACTTTTACTTTCTTCCCATGCATGAAAAAATTGCATTTGAACATATACCAGAAAGGTATGGGATGTTTGACTTGGCACAACAGCTGTTCTGTAAATGACGCCTTGGCACCATCTACATACCAGCGGTGTCATGACACCAACCAAGGTTTGCCGAAGTTGTGTGATCAGATGGATAGGTATGATGACCTTGCTGTGAAAAGAAATAGTAGTTGATGAGAGAACTTGCGGTCACCCATGACTGTGTGCATGTTCGGCAGAAACAACAGTCAGGGAACTGGGCAATCCAGTGCGTTGTGAGACATCTGCACGCTTGTGGCCAAAACGAGAACATGTTCATGAAAGAACTTTGACTGGTAATAATGAAGGGTGTTCCAACATACACCGGTATATTTTGTATGGATTAGACCTTTAACTAAAGCAGACAATGGCACAAGGCAAGAACAGCGTGTCTGTTCTACTTCGAAATAAGCACAACATAACATGCGGAAGTTACTGAACCTGGTAACCTGAAAACTGACGGTGCCAGGAAAAGTTCTTGCTAGTATAAAGTGGCATACCATAACGTGGGCATATGTTTACTGTCTTCGATCGCTAAATGAGCATCAGCTTAGTATAGTTGATCGTCCACGAGAATAACTGACTAGTGATGTTTTATGGATGGTCAGTTAGGTAAGAAATTGTGCATCCTGCTGTAGCTACAATACTGCATGGTTGTAACCAATTGCTCATCAAGTTTGTATTCAGGCAGAAGTTGACTCCTAACTTCAGGCAAACAATATATTGCTATAAAATTGAGCTTGACGAAACAAGCCTGCATTTTATTTGCACTCATGCCATGTCAGTCTGTGTGGAATCATTGTGTATACCATGCAATTCACTCATGCGAGGCGCAGTCAAGTAATCTTCTCTAGATTGTGGCATGCAGTGTCTTTACACGATGTTGTGAAGCCACACGCGTATATACAGTGCTGGCACCTACGGATGATAACTGTGTCTGTAAGAGTCCCGATGTACTGAGCCTGAGAAACTGCAACAGAGTAGCCCACATTGGCATGCAACCCTACCAAGATTGCAAGACAAAGTGACAACCTTACTGTATAATTAAAGAAATATTTGAAAGGAATAGTAAGGCTAGCAAAACTCAGGTGGGCTTGGTACCTGAAGGCAGAACAGAGCCCGTGCCTTCGACGTAGTGACCGTAGCCTTTGGTGAAGCAGCACGTAGTTGGTCGACAGTCGGCTCTACAATGTCAAGGAGGAGCGAGAACCTGGAGAGCACCTTGTCAGGAAGGAGACAGCTCGCCTCATCCGCCAAATCCTCTTTGGCGTCGAACTTGAGAAAACTCGACAGGCTCTGCGGCGGTCCGGTTCCCGCTGGCTCGTGTGGTGGCTCCTTCTGACATGCACCGGAGCAGACACTGTTTTCGTCTGATGACAGTCCCTGAATTGGGTCGGGTGCAGCTTGGCGAGGCAGTAGAAACGCAGCCGCGAGTTGGGGACGCCGAACTGAGTGGGCGACAACAAGTACCGATGGATGTGGTAGCCGTTGTCTTGTAGAACCTGCAATCAAGATAGGATTACTTCATTAGCCTGAAGTTTAATACACTCAGATAGTGGTATGCATCACATCTGGAGCACATGTGTAAACAAGGCCATAGAAGTGAACGTGCCAAGTAGGGGCGATAGATCCACGATCTATCGCAGGAAATGTTGAATCACGTGTTGTCCACCATCTTTCTGGTAGCTTTTTGTCCATGACCGACACGTTTCGATGTTGTGAGTGCCGAATATACAAATGCGTATTAAATCGCTTTGGTACTTTCGTTTTATCATTTTGTAACATAGCGTTCCCTTGCAAGGGTCCCTTAATACAAGACAGAGATACAAGGGGTGTGCAAATAGTGAATTTTATTACTAAATAGAGTGCACTTTGAATAATGATGACAACGAATGCAAAGACTATTCAAATAGTAAAGCAACAATTTTCAATATATCCCAAGAATTCTACAACATTTCATTTGAAGCAAGTATGCACAAGCTTTAACAAAAAAAGCATAACGATCACGTTCGATCAGCAAGAAATAGTACAATGATTTAAACTGAGCAGCAACTAGAGCTTTCGAAGCACTTTGCAACTGCATGCTGAAATGCAATGTGACAGACCAGGAATCAAACCCGGGATCAATGATTTTACAAGGCGGTTGTTCTGATGCATGATGTGGTATAGCACTGATAGTCTTCAGACAATGCTTCTACTTTAAAAAAAAAACTGCACATGAATTATCTCGCATGCATCAGTTGTTGAGGAAGGACTTAGTGAGCAGTCATTGCTCCACACACAGCATAACGTGGAAATTTATTGCAGACAGAGCTCCTTGGTGGAGTGGCTTTAGGGAGCGGTTAGTTTGTATAGTCGAGATGTGTCTTCGCAAGTCATTGGGCAAGACGCCTGTTAATGCAGAGCGACAGCACTTTGCCCACAGAAACTGAAGCCGTTGTCAATTCCAGACATTTATTCTTCCCCCAGAGAACCAGAAATCTTGACCCCATCTCTTTTTTTTTTTTTACTCTGCAGCGGTCTTTTGTCAAAACCTAACACTCCCAATGAATGGGTAAAAAGTCAATGCAGAGCTGCTCTAGTTTGTGTGTCCACAGGCAGCTAATAATGTAATAATGGAAGAAACTGTGAAAGCGACAGATTCGTGAATATCTCCTCACGCTCTGAAGCGTCACTCGAGGAGAGCACCAAAGGTTGACAGCACAAAGAAAGTGGACGTGGTAATTATTCACGGGGCCAATGTTCTCGCACTGTTCTGGAAAACTGGTGTAGTAATTTGAGCGAATGCGTTCCAAGTAAAGACGGCATAGTTCGTTCATGTAAAGTAAGGAAGCCCCTCTCAGATCGAGCCCCGGAGTCTGTTAAATACCAGAAGAAAAGGACGACGATGGGACTAGCGCGTGGAGCGTGTCTCGGACTGATTTGGAACGGCGTTGAAATTGTGCTCTCGGCCACAAAGTCGCCCCAATTTTCCATCGTTGCAATGAGGCGGCTTCCTTTCTTCTACGGTAACCACGACTGAGAACACCTTTACCTGAGTTAGGGTCGCGTGCGTTGCCGACGTCTCGAACCCCTTGACGTTTTCCACGAGTACGTACTTCGGCTTGCGCTCCAGCGTCGACAGGACGCTCAGGAACGCGAACAGCGACGACGATCGCGGGTCCCGGGAGTCCCGCTGCAAGCCCTGTCGCGTGAACGGCTGGCACGGAGGGCTCATGGTCACCAGGTCGGGTCGGAGGGATTCGAGTTCGCGGCCGCTCAGCGACTGCACGTTGCGCTGCAGAAGTGGCGTCTCGGGAAAGTTGAAGGCGTACACCGAGTTCGCCGTGGTGTTCACGTCGACGGCGGCGACTACGCGAGTCCTCTCCGGTCGGCAGGCGAAGTGCATTCCCCCGATGCCGCTGTACAGTTCCAGAACGCGCAGTTTGTTGCGACCGGCGTCGTCTGCTTCGCGGTCCATCGTCACGTCAATCTCGCGCCTGTTTTCTCGTTGCCGGTTGTTCCCGCGGTTACGTGCGGTGTGTTGAGTAACTGCGAACCGCGTTTCGTCCGCAGTTTCACATTCCTGTCGAGGGCAAAGATCCGCGTCGAACACTTGCACAAGCCACTTTCGTCGTGGCCACACACACTACAGCAGGCTTGTCACTAATCGCGTGCACCACCACGCGCAAACATGGCCGCCCTGGTCCGCCGTAGCGCGTCGCTGCTTGCTTGCGTTATTTTTGCTTCACGCCGCTATGTGGCGCTAGCGTTCGCAACAGGTAGTTGTTGCTCTGATCGAGGGGCGGCGCCACTTTACCAACAAGCGCGACGAAGCGCTTTCGCAGCAAGTGAATTCAAGGTAATCCAGGCGGCGCGCCCAGTTGTTCTGAGATTTTTGTTGATTCATTTTATCAACGCGACAGAAACGTGGCGACCGCGTGGCGCGTTGATAAGCGACGTCGCTCCACTTTTGTGTCGGCTCGGTTTTTTTTTTTTAATCTCGCCCTCTGTTTTCTTTCTATGTTTTCTTTTCTTTTCTTTTTTTTTGTCGCTGCTTTGTCATCGTGCCACTTATCTACGGTGGCTTCCCCCTTTCTCGCACACCTTGTAGCTTCGTGAAAATTGTACGCTCCATTTTTATATTTTTTATTGCCGTTATATCCCTTATTTATATTTATTTTTTCTTTAATACTGTGTGAGATGATTATGACGTATTTATTATGATGATTATGACGTAATTAAAGTGCAGGAACGAGATCTGCCTTTTTTGGCTTTCGTGTTAAAAAGAAAAAATTTTAACGATGGTGCTCTTTCTTTTTCTGTTTTTTTTTAACTTAGGACGGTTCGTATCTCGAGGCATATGTTGTCCATGAAATGCTTATTATGACACACGCTTATTCCTGATTTAAAGATGTTTGTTTGTTGATTATTTAATATAACATCAACATTCTACGGGATGCTTTTCTTTGTGTGTGTGTGTGTGTGTGTGTGTGTGTGTGTGTGTGTGTGTGTGTGTGTGTGTGTGTGTGTGTGTGTGTGTGTGTGTGTGTGTGTGTGTGTGTGTTGTTGGCGCGTAAACAAACTGCCTTAGCGCTCTTTCGAGGTTTATCATTTTGGCTCTCGACGTTGTGCCGTATTATCATTCGGGGTATAACGTTGCCCTGGAGCAGTGCTTCTCTTTCTTCTTTCGCGGTCCTTGATTTATTGGTCGTGGCGGCGGCCGCCTCTGGCGTGAATGGAATGTCCCGAAATACACCGCCGCTGACGTCAGCGCCCCTGATATATTTATCTATTCATTTATTTCACATCCTGCAGGGAAGGCACCGCAGAAAGGAAAAGAAAACGAGCAACCGGTGGCATCTAAAAAAAGAGAAAAAAAGTCGTTGGGAGCCGAAGATGCGCGTGAACGTGAACAATTCACCGTCTGTCTTTCTCGTGCAGTTTTATTTCTTTAGTGCAATTGTCGCCCGCAAATTACGCACTGCGCATTCACTATCGACTCTCTTCTTTATTCATATCTCTATCATATTTGATCTAAACAAGGGTGTAGTTTCTAGGAAGGATGTGTGTGCTTAAAACTGTAGCACTTAGATACGTCAGATCGGTCAAAGTTCATATCCAGCTGTCTTTCGTCGGGCCAACAATTTTCGTCTTGCTTGCTCTCGCTGGTCTTCCACATTGAAATTTTTTCATCATCATCCTTATTTCAGACAATTACAAATAACAAATGACAGGTTTGAACTGTTTAATAGGCTGACAAAAAAAATACAGGCACGAATTCCTGACATTGATTTGATATGTGAGGTTTAACGTCCCAAAACCACCGTATGAAACGAGAGACGCCGTAGTGGAGGGCTCCGGAAATTTCGACCTCCCGGGGTTCGTTAATGTGCACCCAAATTTGAGCACACGTGTTTACAGCGTTTTCGCCGCCATCGAAAATGCAGCCGCCGCACCCGGGATTCGATCCCTCTACCTGCGGGTCAGCAGCCGAGTACCTTAGCCAATAGGCCACTGTGGCGGGGCAATTCCTGACGGATTGCCATGTCCTTTTCCATACATACATCCTTCAAACAACAGAATTGGTTATATGATTAACGCGAAACGACTATACTAACATTGGAATATATTGCTCACTGCTATGCAACTGTAAATATATATTAAGAACCATGCAAGCGTAGAAGCGTTCCAAAGGAGTGGACCACTAAAGAGGTTGGCTCTTAAAGAGAGCGATAAAAAAAGTGTAACAAAGTACAGGCAGCAGCGAAAATAAATAAATAAAACGATAAGTAATTCTTCTAATGATAGAAAGTAGGCATGTAGCTTTTTTTTTTTTTTGCGCTAATATTTCTGCTGGGTAACTTGATTATACCAAATATGCGCACATCACATTCCTCTCGTGAGAACCCTGTCGATAACATCGACGTTTCCGCCCCCGCATTGAAAGCGGGAAACAGTTTTAAAATGGATGGATGGATTCGTCGTCGCCGCTGTGGTATCGTCTGAGGAGAACCGAGGCCCGAAAAAAAAAAACAACCTTCAGATTGGGAAATATCTTCTTCGTGAAAACCTTCGCTGCCTGTCTACATTATATAGTACTTTATACAGTACATGAGGCAGCAGCTAGTCGACCTATACTGCCTGTAACAGCTATTATAGCTAACAGATGTAGCAACGAGTCGGGTTCAGGTCTTTTATGTGCAGGTCTACGTCCCCTTTTACGAAACTCTGCTGGAAGTATTTTGCTAGGTGGAGTGTGCACTCGGCCTCGCTTCTCGAGATACCGAGCTGTTATCACACGCGGTATAGGCGGAGGGCGGGCGGTTTTCTCGCGACGTCGCCAGCGTGTCCACTGTAGTCAAGTTTTCCTTCTTCTCGTCTCCAACGGCACCGAAGAAGAAGAAGAGGCAGCAGGTATTTTCCAGACTAATCTGAGTGCATTTCGCCTTGAATCTTGTTGCGTGTGTGGGGGGGCGTGCGACAGGTCGTTCTGAACTATTACGCATCAACATTATTATTATTATTATTATTATTATTATTATTATTATTATTATTATTATTATTATTATTATTATTATTATTATTATTATTATGGAGCTGCTCTTCAAATCTACTGCAGGACGACGAAAGCCTCTCGCAATGGTCTCCAGATTACTCTATCCAGCGTGGTCTGAATCTAGACTATTTTACCCATTCCAGAATGTTTTTTTTTTATTAAGATATAAGGTTGGGTGACTCGGTGATTTGCTCTTGGGTACACCACTATGCCACACAACGCAGGCGAGTGCCAACGGGCGCTTAAAATCGTCGCAGCAGAGGTTTGTGTTTGTGAATGCAGACAAGTATACTCACGGTAGAGCTTTAATAATAAAAAAAGGGCCAAGTGCTTTGTGGAGGCTTACCGCGAATTTGCAAGCGTTTTGAAATGCAAGACAGTATAAGTGTCGTGTGTTAGAACAAGTTGATGACTGTTTCCACGAAAGAATTAGAAAAAAAGGGGAAAAAAGATGTCCTACGTCAGTCTGCGACGTGATGGTGATATAGGAAAGCGGTGTTGCTTCGTTCGTTTTCTCGGCCTTTATCTCTCAAGTAAAGCAACCACTCGTGGGCGGGAACTTTAAACGCGGTGGTTGGCCGTGGGTCTAATGAGCCGACCCGGGTCCTCTACTGCAAAACCTTGGGAGGGTGTGGGAGTAAAGCCCCCGAATGAAAATAGGCGGGAAGAGTAGCGTAGCTCCTTCCTTCACTTTGTATCCTACAACCAGTGGTGGATCGAGAGGGGGAGGGGTATTCGCCCTCCCTCCCCCGAAGAAATAAAAACCTGCTGCCAGCATTTCCACCACCCCCTATTATCTTCAGTGCTCTGTTCTCGCCCACCTCTATTATAATATACACCGATCGGTACAATCGAGTGGCACAAACTAACAGTGTTAATGCTGTTATGGCGTTCTTGTGATGACTAGATAGTAACTATAATAAAGCGAGAGTCTGGACCCCCGTCCAGTTTTACTAGAAACCCACCTCGTAAAATGAGTGGCTGGATCCCGCCCCTGCTTTTTTTTTTTTAGCTTCCGTTATCCGTATTTAGAACGGACCTGCAATCAACGCCCGATCGACCAGTATAGTCCTGCGCGTATTGTCATAAACGGCCTGCTTTTCTGGACGCTGGCTCATTCCTGATAGGACCGTCTTTCAATTTCACGTTTGTTCGTCGATTATAAGTATGACACGATCGATTGATGATTGATTGATATGTGGGGTTTAACGTCCCAAAACCACTGATGATTATGAGAGACGCCGTAGTGGAGGGCTCCGGAAATTTCGATATAAGTATGACAGTCAGGCGAACTGGCTGAACGTCACGGGCGCCGAGTTCTTGTTCCCGCTGAACGGAATTGCCGCGATTCAGTTTTTTTTTTTCCTTCTCACTCTGCTGCGTCCGCGAGTGTTTTAAACCCCGTCTCAAACTCACTTGAGCGTTTCCGAATACCTCCGTGGCACACACAAACTCTCAAGAATACAAAAAGCGAATATCGCAAACTGATAGAAACATACAAGCTTCCGTGCCAAGAAACACACACACACGCAAGTGCCACAGACGTTGCTTTCCGGGGCATCGTCGTATATACGTGGCTCGAGGGGAAAAAAAAAAAAATGACGTGGCTTCGCGCATTTTTCGCAGTCGTTTCGTGGACCAGCGATGCCATTTGCCGGGGGTGATGTGATGCGCCGCAGTTTCGTTTTAAATGACCCTCGTTTCGAAGTGGAACGGTGCTCTACATAGACGTGGCATACTATACAGCGTGTAAGTGACGGGGTCTGGATTTTTTTTTTCCCCCGTTTCTGACAATGTACGCGGCTTCGAAAGAGATTTTCCACGAAGCACCGCGGGGAGGGGGGCGGGCGAACCTCGTTAACTATCTTCCACGGTTAGTGTTTTTTGCGACCGCTCGCGGAGCACTGTAG